TTCAACCAGGTTAGGGGTCGGTATCCCGATTTAGTTCTCTGATGTTGTGGAATGCTGTTCTGGTCTTGGAGCGCGGGTGTCACGCCCAGGAAAACAAAGTGATGTCAATGCAGTACGACGGAGTAACCAGTGGTTGTTTCACTGGAATCCTCGCCCTCCGGTTTTTCGACTGTCTGTATGCCCAGTGAGGCGACCGTATTTCCTTTATTTTGTCCATTTATAGTTTGATGAGTCCCAGCAGGTCATTGTTCAAGTTGTTACAGATCGCGAAAGTGTGCACACACTGCTCCCTCAAGAGGCACGCCTGAGCCAGCATGGACTCTGACCTAGAAAAAAGACAGAGATCCCCTTCCTTGCGGAGTGTGACACGAGAGCAGCTAGAGACTTCACAAGCTCTGGGATCACCCCCTCCAACATGTGGATCGAGATACGAAAAATGGGCGAGAAACATCAAAGGCTTAGAGGCTCGCGGGATCGAGCCCGTGTCTCTTGAAGAACGACTGAAGAACACCAGCTCGACCCCTTTCCGAATGATGCTCACGTGGTTTAGTATGGGCATGGCAATCAACAATATTGTGACCGGGTCTTTGGGAACACTGGTAATGAAGCTTAGCTTCACCGACGCCGCGCTCTGTGTCATCTTCGGTACGCTCCTGGGAGGTCTGGGAGTTGGATACATGAGCACATGGGGTCCCAGAAGCGGTAACCGCACACTTGTATGGCCTACACTTGCACCTTGGTTTTCTTCTCTCGCCCTGCCCATCTGCACTTAGCCATTTGCGTGATTTAAAAGTTCCTGGCTCACAACCATATTCTCCTGATAGATCGTGTCTCGGTACTTCATGGGATATTACCCTAGTAAGGTCTGTTGTATACTGAATGTGCTGACCAACTTGGGGACCGGCATGATGAGTGCCACTGTAGGAGGACAGTTGCTTTCCAAGCTATCAGGAGGAGTCGTATCCGTCATAGTTGGTATAGTAATAGTTGCCTTGGTGAGCTGGGCAATGGCTACCTTTGGGATGAAGATATTCCAGTTCTATGAGAGGTATGGCTCGTCACCCTTCCAAGTTTCAGAGCACTATCCTGACCATCAATTCTGGCATAGATATGCTTGGTTTCCGCAATTGTTGATCTTTTCCGTTCTCACCGGCTCGGCTGGACCGCAGTTCGATTTCCATAGCCCGACGATTGGTTCTATCGAGCAGATCAACGCAAAGCGTCTAACATACTTCTCACTTTGCCTATCTATTCCCTTGTCATGGATACCCGTATCCGCAGACTACCAGGTTTACTATTCTCCGGAAATCAGGCGATGGAAGATATGGACAGTGACCACGATCGGTGTCAGCCTCTCGATCGCCATAACGCTTCTTCTTGGCGCCGGGCTTGGAAGCGGTGTTGCAATTAACTCTAAATGGGCGTCTCTTTATGACGGTACGCCGGGAAGTCTGCTGATGGCCGGCTATGATCGGCTGGGACCTCTCGGAAAGCTATGCGCCTTCATCAATGTCTTAACTATTGTGTCCAACAATGCCCCCAGCTCGTACTCAACCGGATTGAATTTCCAGATGCTGGGAGAGATGTGGCTCAGAGTTCCACGACCTGTTTTCACGACTGTCAGTACTCTAATTTACGCATCATGTGCCATCGGAGGCCGAAACTCTTTGTATGAGATCTTCGGGAATCTCATGCCGCTCATTGGATACTGGGTCATTATCTGGTTTACCATTGTGGTAGAACAAGACGTACTTTTCAACCGAGGGAAAGTTTACGACTGGACTGATTGGAACAATTGGCTTAAGCTCCCGGTTGGAGTGGCAGCTAGCACTGCCTTTTTGATCGGTTGGGTAGGAGCCATCGTTGGCATGGTACGCAGTCCCACTAGCATGTGCTTGTTGCACGAATTGCTGCTAACCAAGGTACCTTTTGTCTGGTAGAATCAAGCCTATTATATTGGCCCAGTCTCCAGAGCGATCCCAGGTGGGTGTGATCTGGGCATCTGGCTGGGGTTGGGCTTCACGGCTCTTGCATTTCCGCCATTCAGGATGCTGGAGCTGAAAATAATTGGCCGTTGAGTATACGTAAGCTGATTAGATGTCGATGTCATTCTGGAAGGTATCGAAGACGCTTTCCCAGGCCCTTTCTGTGTGCTTTCTTGAGGAGCGACGGGTGTAAAGCGGACCGATGTGCTGTTTATTAAACCAACTTGCCGTCTGCTATTGCTGTGAATAGAATCCCGGGGCAGAAGAACTTCACCCGATATGGGAAATACTTTTTGTATGTATGTGCATATGCCTGTTTAGATCTTGATATTGTCATCCATTCCTTGTTTACCTTCCGAGCAGAAGCAAGCACATTGTGAAGAAGTTGTTTTGTCCCAGGACGATGCCTTGTATGAGTGAATGGTATGATTTCTGAGGTTATGGGTTCTGTAATCATCCATGGTCAGGTGAGATCAGTTGCCCAAATGGGGGTCTACCTATTTCTGTATCGGGCATCGGAAGTATTTCCCAGACAGGCAAACAGCCGAGTTTCCTATTGAGGAAATTGGCCGGTTAGTATGGAAGGTAGAACACCTCCTACATAGGAAGGGTTGAACTCTATTCGATATAGACAGGGAGTTATGATATCCAGAATTAATGCATAGCACAAGTCTCGCACTATATCTGGTGATATCAACGCTCAAACAAAAACGTCACTACAAGTTCGATTGCACCATCGTCAAATCATGAACGGTATTACTGCATCTGCATCTATCTCCCTAAATAAGCCGGAACTGGCCTCAACGGAGGAATTGACACAGTCCTCTGTAGAACAATGTCTGCCAGCCAGCAATGGACTTCCCGGAACTCCAAGCTAGATTTGACGTATCTTGAGCGCCCTCACTGCGCCACGGTGTGTCAAGGAAGCTCTTCGCATGATTGTAGGTTGGAATAACTGGGTGAGTTCAAGGATGTCACTCATATTGACTCCAGCACTTTGGCCTGCTTACCAATCCATTGGCCCAGCCAAAATAGCATCAAAGACGGGTCTCTATGACAACTATATTAGTTTCAGGGAATTATGTGTGGTTTTCCAGGATAAAGGGTATTTGCCTGGGTCTGAACTTCTTCAAGCTCCTAGCCAAGTTCTCATAGAGAGAAAGAGAGAGAGTTTCTTCCCATGTGCTTCTTAGTAACCTCTCACATTGTTCAAACCAGCCGGATGCAAAAGTCTATCGAAACCTTTCCAGAAGTGTTTCTCAAAACTGCGATGTGGGTTTGGGCTTGAGCACTCAAGGCACGGGTCCGTGTAAGATGTTTATTCAAGTTCGCAGTTATCGCGAGCTTCTGCAGACCATCTAAATTGGCGCAGAGCACCGGAGTTGAACCTCAACCGCCTTCGAAACGAGAATTACTTGCTCGGCACGCGTATCTACGGTGTTTGTATCAATGAAAGTTGCCTGGTTGGTGCTGGTCTCCATTCTCAAGTCATCTCCGCTGTCGTCAACAGTATCCCGTTCCTGCAGATCTGTCGCAAGCTGTGAATGTAATTGCGACCCATGCATGAATCATTCCCACAATCGCGACGGCATGGCTTGGCAGACCGTATATGACCAGAAGATTGACCGACTCGATCGCGACGATTCGAATGACTCTCGACACAGACTGGTTCTTGTGTCTTGCCAAAGCGTATAGTCGCAAGCATGGCTGAGTCGGAAGGAAGATTGTGTTTGTATCATTTAAGAACGACTATCTTAACAGAAGAGTAATTTTTGTTATTGCCTCAGAAAGAATGAAGGGCGACTGGTCCAGAATTCAAAGTTGCATGCCCTACAGTGTATGAGCGTTCTTACGGTAGAGAGGGCCTATAAACATCCCTTACTGAATGAACAGGTATACCGATGGCTCCGCAGATGTCATACAGCACTATTGCTACGTTTCTGATACCACTTAAGCTGCAGTGAGATTGAAGTACAACTACTTTACCTCAAAAGCAGGATCTATGATCATCAGGGCCATTTATCCGCTTCTTTAATATCTGTATCAGAGCTACTATGCCACTATCTTCAACCAGTACATCAAATGCATGAACTCTGGACATTGCGGAAGCAACCATCGACCATAAGAGTGCCCGAACATGGGATCAGTGTTGACACTGGCAGTCCACGTGAACGACTAGTGGTTCGGTGGGGATCTACATTCTGGGCTTCAAGCATCCGTATGTGACACCATATTGCCTATCTCTGCACCGGCTGCCAGAACGAGTACTAGTTTTACGTAGGACTCGGCGGATCATGACAATTTTCCATGTATTCTCGCCAAAAGATACGTGTGCTTTACGGTTTATAAAGCAAGGCTGGTGTTAGTGCAACTTCCTTCTTCCCGGTCCATAACAGCATTGAAGCCAATGACTTATGTGATATTAGTAATGCGCGCACAGAGTGTTGTGCTAGGGTGATACTAGTCGATCTGAGGGTCGTCGAGTCTAGTATTGGTCTTAATAGCTTTGGAGATAGAGATGATGAAATTTCGTAGTATATCAAGATAGTGTTGCTGACTGGGAAGGCCTGAAATCGATGTGGTTAGTGAACCACGGTAGGAGAAAGGAGTGCGGTGGGGTAACCACACCTTAACATGCTGCAAATAAGATCTTACTTAAGAGCAATCACCGAGGATCATCATCATCATCAGACCCACCCTGTAAGTAAAGTAATTCTTCGAGCGTGTCCATTCTCTCCATCACTGACCAAGTGCCTGACTCCTTGTGCATTGTCGATCTTCAAACCTGGTAGACTGTAGAGACTCTTTTCACACAGGTCATCTGTGCCTCCGCTGGCTGGTCGCTTTCACAACTATGACTAATGCCCGATGCAGATCATTTCATTTCAGTGTGACTGACTTGAGAGACTCAAAAATGCTCCAACAGTCCTCTTCCCCCATCTTCGAGGTTATCTATATACTAGCTGTTCATCGACGCATGGACCACTGAACCGAATAAGCAATTATAAGCGACCAATGGATAACACCACACAGCTCACTCCGGGGAATTTCCTGGGGTTTGTCCCCAACACGGACCCTCGGGCGGGCTTGGGATTCCAGCAATTGGTCACCTATGCTTGCTTGCTGCTTCCGGCCTACGCGTTCCTGGTCTCTCATCTGCGATTCCGATATCTACAGCGGCTGCACCAAAAATACCCCTATAACACTCGAGAGTCTTTATCTCGCATGACCGATGATGAAGCCTGTGAGATACAAAAAGGCTTGGTGCAGCTGGAGTTTCCATTCCTCTACCTCAAATCACTCCAGTTTGCTCTTTTCAGGGTGTGAAACCCCGGCTACTTCATACTATTCTTGCTCCTATCCTGCCGACTAACTACTACGCCAGACATACGGCATCCCGACCATCTCGACAGTGCTCACAAATACAACCCAGTTCTCAAAGCCCGACACGGCCCTCAAACGCTACGCTGATACCGCCGCCCTGATTCAAGAATTTGTAGGCCATGCGCCAACCTCTCGTCGTGCTTGCACTTCTATTGCACGCACCCGCTGGATCCACAGCAACTATCGCGCTTCAGGCAAGATCCTGGAAGATGATATGTTGTACACCCTTGGCCTTTTTGCTATTCAGCCAGTTAGATTTGTGGAAATGTATGAATGGCGGGACCTGAGCGACCTTGAGAGATGTGCTATCGGTACCTTCTGGAAAAGTTTGGGCGACAGCTTGGATATCAGCTATGATGCCCTCCCATCAGGTAAAACTGGGTTTCGCGATGGCCTTCATTGGCTGGAGGAGATGATGGTCTGGAGCGACGATTATGAGGTTCGTTGCATGGTACCTCATGTCAAGAACCGTGAGGTGGCCGATCAAACCATCGCAGTGCTGCTGTACATGCTTCCCCAGCCACTGCACTTTATTGGAATGAGATTTGTCTCGTTCATGATGGACGATCGCTTGCGGAAGGCCATGTTGTGAGTGATGCCGTGCATCTCTTTGTGTAATGATTCCACGGACTCGAACAACCAGCTGATTGATTCCCTTTCCAGGATCGACCCTCCTCCAGCTTTTGATGCTAAGCTTTTCTCGTTACTGTTCTCCGCTCGTCGGTTTGCATTGCGGTATCTCGCGCTACCCCGCCCTTATTTTCTGCGGTATGTTAGTTACACCGATGATTATAACGAGAACGGTCGCATCTACATGACCAACTGGGATGCCGCCCCTTACTATGTGAAGCCGAGTCTCCGGAACCGCTGGGGCCCAGTTGCCTGGCTGACTTGGGCGCTTGGTCGGCCTTTGCCCGGAGATGAGGGGGACAAGTATTATCCAAAGGGGTATGATAATCTCAACGTAGGCCCGAAGTATTTCGAAGGTAAGGGCCGTCAGGGTATGGATGACATTATGAAGGAGTTGGAGACTACGCGACGGGGCCAATGCCCATTCCACTGAGCTTTGCACGGAGCTGGCCTCACTCGATTGGAATGCGCGTTGGACGAAGTTATGTCGTTCTTATAAAGCGTATATTGTGCTGTTAAATGTTGGTCTACTTAGCGGGCCCTTTTCCCGCATCCGATGATCTACAAGCAACTATTGAAGATAGTTTATGCACTTCGAAGCCTCTTGAAACTCCCAACAGATATCAACAGCTTGTTCGTGCAGTCTTCTGAAAGTCTTGCGCCAATGTCTGTTTCAATTGCCTGCGCTTGCTAGTGCCCTCGTATTGTAGTGTTCGCATCGATCTATTTTACTATGGTACGTTGGACTACCATCTTCACTAATGGGCGTCCAGCCTACGCTGAAGCTCGGAGATTTCCTGGAAATTCGAATTATGCATCAGTCAAATAGCCGAAAATTTCGCAAAACGCTCTCTTTGTGGGAAGCAATCTCCTGCATTCATTTTAGAGTAAGCGCCTCTATCTGGCATACAACATTATCACTGTGAAGGATACTGTGCTTGAGTGTTCGTCTATGTTTCGATAAGAGATTCAACTGGTATTCGAAATTGAATTAAAGCTACAAACGCAGACGGTATGAACAGGGAAACCATTCCTTTCCCCCCACAATTACGCTAAGCCCGTAAGAGCATCGAACGCGCCTATGAAAGACTGGACATTCACTATTTGTATTCACTACAAAGTAATAGCTAGATAAGTAGTGCAGCCAAAATCGTCAGCCTGAACTAAGCGCGCCTTCCATGACGTGAATAGCCGTCGCAGCTTACATAAAGCGATCTCTCTCCCCGCAAATCCGAAAGTCAGCTCAAATTAAATCCTATCATCCTCAAGCCAACCTCTCCTTAACCCAAACAATAAAACTCTCCTTACTCACTCGGTATTCGATTGCCGTCGCATTTATATCGTCTACTGTGCATAACAACAATGGCGTCGCATGCTCCGAACGACGACGACCGCTCCAACAACTCTCCTCCGCTAAGCAACTTCCCCCAAGATCCTTCGGAATTCGACAGCGACCCGCGCATCTCGTTCTCGAAGCTAGACGACAAGTTCATTCTGGAAACGGAGGATGGACAGGAATACGAATATGATACGGTGCTAAAGAGATGGATTCCGACGGTGTGTGCGCGCTCTTTCTCCAGCTGGGTGGTGTGATGTCTTGTAGTAGCTGTTGAACTACTGCTACCTTTGTTTTTCTCTACTTTGCTGTTCCTCCCCGCCCCCTTTTGTTTCCTTTCTGTGTCGACTCAACTGGTTATGGAACCTTCCTCTCTTGTTGCAAATAGACCAAGATACACGTCTATCATTGCAGGGATTGTTTGATTGGTTCGTGAAACTGATTGCTTGGTTGGCGCCGCTTGCGCCCGCCCGGGGTGCCTCCAGGTCGATGAAGACTTGCTACAACAACAGCAAGAAGCATATAGAGTCCAGGGTGTCAATGAGGAGGAACAGATTACTGCGGCGCAGTTGAGGAAGAAGCGCAAGCAACAGGCTACTACGGAAGAGGTTAGTCCAGCAGTTTACGATGATGCTTCCTTGACTTGGCCCCAATGGCATTGTGATGGGCCCAAAACTAAGAAGATATGAAATCGCGTAGGGCAATGGGCAACAGAAGCCTAAGAAACAGCGCGTCAATACCGCGGTCTATGTGACTTCGATTCCTCTGGATGCTGAATTCGACGAAATCCGCGACGTCTTCTCCAAGTGTGGTGTTATCGCCGAGGAGATCGATAGCGGCCGACCGCGCATCAAGATGTACACTGATGAGAGCGGAAACTTCAAAGGTGAAGCTCTCGTTGTGTACTTCCGGCCTGAGTCCGTCAATCTCGCGATACAGATGCTGGATGATTCCAACTTTAGGATTGGGGTACCCGGACCGCAGGGACCCATGCGAGTGCAGCATGCGGATTTCTCGTTCAAGAGCCAGCAAGAGGCGCCTACGAAGACTAGTATGAGGGATAAGAAGAAGATTATGCGACGGACACAGAAGTTGAACAGGTATGGGGGAACTACATTTGACCTGGGATGATTGGGCTGGGCTTTGCTGATATACGCGTTTAGCAAACTTGCTGACTGGGACGATGACGACCCGTCTGCCTTGCCGGACACGACTTCCCGTTTTGATAAGATCGTGATCTTGAAACATATGTTCACGTTGAAGGAATTGGATGTACGGAGTATCCATCCCGCGCTAGGAGTGATTGGTAAAAGGAACTAACGTTTGGTGTAGGAGGATCCTGCGGCCATTCTTGATATTAAGGAAGATATTCGGGATGAGTGCTCGAAGCTGGGGGATGTGACCAACGTTGTTCTCTACGATAAGGAACCCGAGGGAGTGGTGAGCGTTCGCTTTTCCGATCCCGAGGCAGCCAGGAGCTGTGTCAAGGTAAGCTTGATCATGGGATGACGATGGCCCAAACCCTCCGGAAAGGAACATATGCTGATGATACTGTTACATTTAGATGATGGATGGGCGGTTTTTCGCTGGCACCCGAGTCGATGCCTATATCGCGGATGGCAGTGAGAGATTTAAGAAGACCAATGAGAAGCGTGCAGCACTGGAAGATCTGGCGGAGAAAGGATTGGATGCGTCCGATGAAGAGGAGGAGCAGCGATTGGATGAGTTTGGCACGTGGTTGGAAAGCTCACATACGGTCGAGAACACGGCCAAGTGATGGTGATGGTGGTGATGCTTTTTGGGATGTAATCATTATTAGGGGGATCAGGAACTGGATGGGATGGGATGGGCGTAATCGTTTTCTGAGGCTGGCTGGTCACTTTAGACGACCTAAGGGATTGTAGACTTGTATGTACTTATAAGAGCGTTCTGGTTGTTATTAGGATCATGTTGACGGGTGCTCATCATTTTGTCCATTTGTTTACACGAAGGTCCATGAATCCATGGTAAGGCCGGTCAGGCCATGATCAAGTCTGGTTCGCGTGTGGACAAGCCAAGTCACGGGGCGTGACTGTCACTGGACCGCAACGCCGTCCCGTGACGACGCCAAACCGAATTGGGGAGAGCCCCTATTTACCTGCCCAAAAGATCGGGTTGTTTTGTTGGCGTTTTTTTTGGCTTTGTTGTTGATCCCGAATTTATTAACAGTATTAGCAGTATTGGTATTATTGCCCGCACAACGATCCCCCCTTCACCGCTCTCCTTCTACCCAACTCTCCACTAAGGCCAAACTAACTTCCTCCCATTCCTCGTTTTCTCCTCCCTCCTCCCTCCCCCCTTCTCCTCCTTTAGTCGACTGTCTTTCCCCAGTCTCCTCCCAACAACTTCCCGCCCATCTACTCCCTCCGGCCTCGCCGTCTCTCATACCCCTTCGACCCTTTTCAATACCTTCAACCCCTTCAATCTACCCGGCACAATGCGTGAGATCGTATGTTTGCCCTCCCCGTCCCTCGTCCGTCAGGAGACGCGTCGTTGGTTGGCATCTCTTTTGCTCGGGACCCCACCGGTTCTTCGACCAACTCATTCTTGTGCTAACTGCATGTCTTCTTCGCTTTATAGGTTCACCTCCAAACCGGCCAGTGTGTAAGTGCCAATATATGCTTCGGATGATTGCCCCCAAGGGTCTTGATTGGTGGGGTGGACTAAACAATATATCATGGTGGTTAGGGTAACCAAATTGGTGCTGCTTTCTGGTACGTATACAACTGCCATTGGATTGGGGATGGAACATCGTCTCTTAGGCTATCTCAGCTTGAGTTCAGATGTTGTCCATTAGGTACATGCTATCGGTCTAAGAACACGTCTAACAATTCAACAGGCAGACCATCTCTGGCGAGCACGGCCTTGACGGCTCCGGTGTGTAAGTGCAACTTTTTCACACCTCTCAATTGGTCAACAATGGGCAAAGGGTTGGGTCTTCTGACACGCAGGATAGTTACAATGGCACCTCCGACCTCCAGCTGGAGCGCATGAACGTCTACTTCAACGAGGTGAGATCCATCGGACCTTTGCTTTTACACGACAATATCATCAATGTCCTAATCACTTCAGCAGGCTAGCGGTAACAAGTATGTTCCTCGTGCCGTCCTCGTCGACCTCGAGCCCGGTACCATGGACGCCGTCCGTGCCGGTCCTTTCGGCCAGCTCTTCCGCCCCGACAACTTCGTCTTCGGCCAGTCCGGTGCTGGTAACAACTGGGCCAAGGGTCACTACACTGAGGGTGCCGAGTTGGTCGACCAGGTTGTCGACGTTGTCCGCCGTGAGGCCGAGGCTTGCGACTGCCTCCAGGGTTTCCAGATCACCCACTCCCTCGGTGGTGGTACCGGTGCCGGTATGGGTACCCTCCTGATCTCCAAGATCCGTGAGGAGTTCCCCGACCGTATGATGGCCACCTTCTCCGTTGTTCCCTCCCCCAAGGTCTCCGACACCGTTGTTGAGCCTTACAACGCCACTCTCTCCGTCCACCAGCTCGTTGAGCACTCCGACGAGACCTTCTGTATCGACAACGAGGTATGATCCCAGACCCAGCACATGTGAGAAGAAGATTGGTGCTCGAGAACTAACGGATTGGCCAATCTAGGCTCTGTACGACATCTGCATGCGCACCCTCAAGCTCTCCAACCCCTCTTACGGTGACCTGAACCACCTGGTCTCTGCCGTCATGTCCGGTGTGACCACTTGCCTCCGTTTCCCTGGTCAGCTCAACTCCGACCTTCGCAAGCTGGCTGTCAACATGGTTCCCTTCCCTCGTCTCCACTTCTTCATGGTCGGCTTCGCTCCTCTGACCAGCCGCGGCGCCTACTCCTTCCGTGCCGTCTCCGTTCCCGAGTTGACCCAGCAGATGTTCGATCCCAAGAACATGATGGCTGCCTCCGACTTCCGCAACGGCCGCTACCTCACCTGCTCCGCCATCTTGTGAGTTTTCCTACTGCATCGATTGCACAATATGCCAGCTAACGGGTATCTAGCCGTGGACGTGTCTCCATGAAGGAGGTTGAGGACCAGATGCGCAACATCCAGAGCAAGAACCAGACCTACTTCGTCGAGTGGATCCCCAACAACATCCAGACCGCCCTGTGCTCCATTCCTCCCCGTGGTCTCAAGATGTCCTCCACCTTCATCGGTAACTCCACCTCCATCCAGGAGCTGTTCAAGCGTGTCGGTGATCAGTTCACTGCTATGTTCCGTCGCAAGGCTTTCTTGCACTGGTACACTGGTGAGGGTATGGACGAGATGGAGTTCACTGAGGCTGAGAGCAACATGAACGACCTGGTCTCCGAGTACCAGCAGTACCAGGACGCCTCGATCTCCGAGGGTGAGGAGGAATAGTAAGTCCACCCAAGAACCTATTGTTTCTGTTCTGGTTCTAACCAATTCCACAGCGTCGAGGAGGAGCCCCTTGAGGCTGAGGAGTAAATGTCTCAAATCGACAGTTATGCGAATTGAGATCTGCTCTATAATACCCCGATAAGCCTACATTCTCTTCGACCAAGGCCTTCCGAGGTCTTGGTCAGTGAGTTCTTCTGTTTGAGCGCTCTTAATTTCCCTTCCTGTTTTTAATTACTTAGGCTCAAAGCCTGGACTTATTAAACCCAATCGCACATAGTTTTAAAAGCAGTTTGGTACAAATTTCCTAGTCACATCTGTATATGCCGGGTATCTGTTCGGACATTTCGTAGTTTCATACTTCATCAACAAGGACAAGATCGGGGATTACCATCATAAGACACCATTTATTCGAAGCACTCAATACACCTGCAAATTAAGCTCCACGATACTCCCTGTTCAATATGACTGGGTTAAGATCTCAATACCATACCGCTATGTACTCCGTATTGGTAGCTTGTACATGATCCTCATCTCATTAACGTGATATATACTACCCAAACAATGACTGTTATTGAAGATCAATAACTAAACCCACCCCCTATTCTTTCAAGGGCTAGTTGCTGGCCCTAGCATACCGTAACTATTAGTAGTTCACACCGGCACTCAGTTATAATCGAAGATGTAATAGGAAAGTCCTATTTGGTTATCGAGTTTCATGATGAATAAATAGTAGTGTGTGTCTACTAGTCCTGTAAACAAGCACGCCAAGTAATCTCGAAAAAGAAGGCGATGTATATATGCAATAGAGTTATATGTTGATGGCTACTAGGAATGATGTTATTTTATGTGTTTGAGTTGCTTTATGTTGAGATTATTTCGTGGTTATGGTTTTTACGAAAGAAGATGAAAGGATTGGATACAACGGATAAATATCCTACAGAAGGCTAATGGGAAGAGCATACTACTACTAATATTACTACTACTACGGAATGCTAGATTGGGAAAGATAGAGAGATGATAATATAATAATAGAGATTACTACATAGTAGCAATTTTCTTGAAAGATAGCTAGATTTATTTCACAGCAACTCATTCAGGTGAAATCATAATATGATGAATTTTGGTTATATATGAGAAGCTTATGTTGATGTCAGAAAGTAAGGACAAATGAAAAGTGAATAATATGTACATCAGAAGGTATCCAAGTTGTGTCATAAATGACCAGAAACGAAATAGGTATCAAGTAAAAATTAAATCCAAATAAAGTTGATGAAGTGGTTGTGTTCGTTCATGGCTTGTAGTTAGGAAGGAAGTGAAGATGATTGGTCACCCTCGACATAACTCCTATAGTACTATACTGGGTAATATAGTTCAAGCCTTGGTCTCCACGGACTCTTCGTTGCCGTTGGGAGGAGTCATGGTGCGCTTGGAGGACACGTCGCCGTTCTCGGGACTGGTGCCACCAATGACATCGCGGGTGATTTCCACGTAGTCGTACTAGTTTTTGTTAGATGGAGAGTCGTTTACTTCGATGATATGGGAAGGCACTTACGGCAAATTCACCAATTTCAGCGTCATCGACACCGAGGATCTCTTCCTCTTCGGGGATACGCAGGTGCAGACCAGGGATCAGGTTGATGACGAAGAGGATGATGCAGCTACCGAAGAACGAGTAGGCCATGCCGGAGATGGAGTCGGCCAGCTGGTAGCCAAGCTGGATGTAGTGGTGGTTGATCCAGCCTCCGTCGATGACCGTAGAACCATCCAGGTGGGCGATGTAGTCACTATTATCAGAGCAAGCGTTAGTTGAGTGCCCACCGGTTTGAGGTTGTCTGTTTTTTTCAGAGATCAGGGGGCCTTACGCAGCAAAAAGACCAGTCAACAGGTTGCCCACGAGACCACCGATGGCGTGCACGGCAAAGATATCCAGGGCGTCGTCCACACGAAGCACATACTTGAGCTTCGTGGCGTAGTTGCAAGCAGCGGCACCGACAACTCCAAAGATGAAGGCAGCCCAAGGTGTCACGAAACCAGAGCCTGGCGTGATGGCAACGAGTCCTGCAATGACACCGGAGCAGAAACCGACGGTCGACCACTTCCTCTCCAGTCTGTAATCCATGATGCACCAGGTGACACCACCCACGGAGGCAGCCAGGTTCGTGACAACGGCTGCCATGACAGCCCGCAGGTTGGCGCTCAGAGCAGAGCCGGCATTGAACCCGAACCAACCAACCCAGAGGAAGACGGTACCAATGACGACGTGTGTGACGTTGTGCGGGCGGTAGTTGAGCTCGTGGGTGCCATGTCCGCGACGCTTGCCGAGCATCAGAGAGTATGCCAGTGCAGCCGAGCCGGAGGCAATGTGGACGGGAGTACCACCTGCGAAGTCAAGTCCACCCAGTTTGTACACCCAGCCGGACGAGTTCCATGTCCAGCAGGCAATCGGATCGTAGATAATGGTGGACCAAACGAAGCTAAAGACCATGCAAGGCAGCATGCGACCTCGTTCCGCGACTGCACCAACAGCAAGGGCAACCCTATCTCCGTTATCAGTTATCAATCATGAAGGTTGCTTCGGATTTGGGGACACTCACGTAATAGCAGCGAACATTCCCTGGAAGACAGCGAAGAGAATATCAGGGACCTTGGAGCTGCCAACTGAAGGAGCTGCCAAAACACCCTTCATTCCAAAATTGTTCAGGTCACCAATGTACGTTCCAGCGGTATGAGAAAAGGCCAGCGAGTATCCCCAGAAGAACCATTGGAATGACACCACCCCGACAGACATTATTGAAAGCCATATTAACGACAATGCTGATTTGCGTCGGGCGAGACCTGAGTAGAAGAAGCTGTTGCCGTCAGTTGGAGGGGCTCAATGGCTTGGAGGTTGACAGGTGGTATCATACCCGACACCAGGAATCATCAACAACACCAGGGCCGTAGAGGTGATAACCCAAGCGATATCTCCAGACTGGAATCAGTTAGTGGGGATGAGCCCAGTCATAGCCTGCGTCACATATCTAGGGAAGACATACGCTGTAGTAGATGTTAAGATCTTCTGTCAGGGAGTTACCACCGGTCCCATTGTCTGTGCCATTGTAGGCGACAGGGTATTCCGACATGGTTAATTACACTGAGCTTTCTGACAAAGATTGGCCCAGAACCGTGTATAAAAGTGTGTAGGTGACTCCTAAACCTAGCACACTAAGACCAGGAGCCCTGTAGACCGCAGAGGGCGCGAGATGGGGTCGACGTGTAGACCCAGAGGCCTTTAATGGGTTAAGGCAACAAGAGATGGACAGCAAGTCGGGGGGGGGAACTCTAGACACTAGCGATCGAGAGGGAAAAAGGAATTATGGGACGAAGGGAAAAAGAAGACGACGATGGAGCCTAATTCAAAAAGCAAAACAAGCCACTGCAGGGGGAAGGGGAGGGGATGCAGGAGTGATAAATAGTACTGGGAATAGTCGGAGTAGGGCGATGATACCAGTCAGAATGAAACGCCATGGTCTCACTTGCATTGATTCATGGCCGGTTCCACCCATTCGGGCACTAGGCGCAACCCTGGGCCATGGTTAGTCGCAATCAATACGACCGATAGATAGATATCAGCAAGCAAGAAAAAAAGCCATGGCGGCGGATAAGAGCGTGGAGACTCCGGAGGGATGAATGGGTGGATGGGCGGGCCAATGCGCGGCCTCCCGTTGGGATATTCCACTTGACCTGCAGCGGGATCCAGCCATCATCCTGTAATGTCTGCTTGGACTTTTTCTTTCCCGCTGACTAGAAGGAAATTGGACGAGAACGTGGACGGAAAGCCAAGCTGTGTGTGTGTGGGTGTGGGTGACACACTGGCTGGGTGCATGGCAGCCTAACCGCGCCATGGCTGCATCAGTGACAGGCAAGAAGCTGAGAATTCCCTCTACGTCGTACTCAGTTACTATACTACTACTATACTACGGATAGGGGTCAAAGAAGATAATGTGACCGACTACTAACCACCCACCTAGTAGTGTAGTGTATGTACTATGTAGTACTGCTTCCTACTATGCATCCGATAGAGACCCTGAGATTGGGGATTTCAGTGACAGATCGGGGTAAATAATGGATAGTATAACAGTGTCATTGGGCTCGATGCAAGGCGGATAAGACTCAGGAGGAGCAGGAAACTTCCGAAGGACTGGTTAGTTTTCGTTAATTTCTCGGCCAGCTTTCGCGACTGGTGGGAGATAGCATCCAATCGGCCAATCAAAGAGAAGGACATTACTCGAGCTTACTACTCCGGATTCGCAGCTGAAATGGTTATCTATCAATTGCTCCCTATCTATCAGAGACAACAAGGCTGCGGATTGAGTTCGTGGCTTCACCCATCGTTCTCGAACTTCCATGGTTTGAGGAGTCACTGGTACTCTAGCTAGTAGCCCCAGCTGACAATGACCACGAGGTGTTCCGCTACTACTGGTTCATATGAATCAATCCATGGGAATTCATGGTCGCGTCGTGAATTCCTTCAGCCCAGCCGGTCTCGCAGTGCTTATCTTCAGACTTCGGCCGTCCAATCAGCAGTCGGCCGGGATGGCTTATCAGGCCTCCTGATTTTCTCTTCAAAACAAACTCCATGGGTTCCTGTTACTCCTGGCGATTAGTATTGTCGGCTGTAATGTTGATACTTACTCTATGACTAGAGATTTAATGAAGGCAAGACCTCCGTCTCATCATCCTTGTCGGATAGTGTCTGCGTTGTTCCTTCATAGCAGGAAGGTTACTCCGTACTCCGTGGAGATACCATACTATGTCACCAGCTGACTTCTGAGTAACATCCTACGGCAATACTGTAAGATGGACTTTGGTAAAAGAATCTAACTAGCAGGTTACCAATGATGGAAGGCGTCCCATGCGACGTACAAAAAATGATTATTTTGAGGTAAGTCCAGATCAAGCGATCGTGTTTCCAGCACGGATCGTAGGGCTGGTTAACTTGGATGAACCAACAACTCCACGGAACCACAGCAGCAATCGATATCCCTGGATCAACGGTAGCACCAAGTAGCACTAGCATAGTAGCCCGCTATATCTGTCAGCAAGTTGGAACTATTTCCTCTGTACCTCTTCGTGGAATTTACAATATTTACTAGTACCAAGCACCACTTCGTACTCCCAGTATGCGTCTCCCGTAGGTAGAGATAAGCTCACTGGTCCCCATTGGCTAGGGCAGTTCGGCATCCCGACTGGCTCGGACTAGCGGGCTTGGCACCTTGGGGGTCTCTTTCACTTTCATCAATCAATGCGAGATCATCTGGTTATGTTTGATTATGTTTCTGATTAACATGAAATTGATAATCATATCTTAATCTATCTCTGATGCTCTTGGTCACTTAGCAGAAAATTGTCGAGCAGAAACCCATGCGTAATGATAGTTGCGATGTGTTTTAAATCTCTAATTCATTAGAATAACCCAGTACTACCCTCTGAAAGACTGATGCAGCTCATCACCCATAAAGAATCTCTGTTACGGAGTTGGACCACAACACCCCATCCTGGACATCGTTCATGTTGCTAGCATGATGTCATTATCAAAATGACCTTCTACTAGGCGGTCGGATCAACTATTGCCATGGCTTACTGTCCACCAGACTTCAGTACCTGCTTAAGCTTCCCCGGAATTTCTAAAATGGATCTCCAAGAGACCCGCAGCCCCAATTCAGGACAATGGGTTCCACTGATCAACCATCAGACGCATGCCACTATTCACGCCTCAGGGCGATCTTCAAGATGTCAATTGATCATCGTCCAACTTTTTATCCAACAATCAGGCGGGGAATTCAAGAAGCTGCAGGAGGCCGCATTGAACGGACATCTACAGATGCCCGAAAAGGATAACGCATACCAACCCGACAAGTCTCCGTCTGGACTATAAGGAGTAGAGTTTCGGATCACCTTCTCGGTTTCCCGACTTGGTCAATTTGAGAAGTAATGTCGATGGTTGTTTTTATTTGCTTCTCTGATGTCGCGTTTTGGGAGCAATATCATTTGGAGCGCTGAACGCGGCCCATAGCTATACGAATGCTCGTAGGCAACCACCCACTTGGAATCTGCTACTTTTGAAAACCCTTGAGAGTCCACGCTGAGAGGGGAAGGGCGAGAGATGAGTAAAAGGGTGTCAATCAATGCTGCATTCTTCCCTTGACTATCGGAAGGCGTAAACATGCTTCAGTTCTCTCAAATACCTTTTCAAGCGCCAGCCGTGTGATCTATCATTTTGTTACTCCTATGAGCACTTGCGACAAGCAAGGGGTCAGTCGCCACAGTAGAGGCCAATTCAGAGCTACCATATCCCATTAACAAAACTCGGTGTGAGCATGTGCACATATTATCCTGGAGATCTAGAAAGCCGTGTAAAAGAGCATGTGCCTTCCGCCTGAGGCACCATCCATCTCGTGATTGTGGCATAATGGGCCCTACCGCCTCCCGATCCGGTATAGACGTGGCAGGAATAATCCACCTCCGGCTGAAGCTCCGCCCTGTCAATCTGGAGCATACCACTCGTTTTATACCTCAGATGCTTCACTGTTTTCACTCTTGAATGGCAGAGAAGTCATCTAATTTGTCTTGTCTTTGAATTGTAATAGCCCCCGCACCTCAAGTTCTTGAATGCAACTGGTACGCCTGCGCGAGATCATCCCCAGGCCGGAACCGATAGTAGCACAGACGTGCACCGCCACACCCCCCTATCTATCCGCTTGAGGCTTCCCTTCCAACCCGCTTTCCAAACGTCGGACATGCGACATGGAATCTCAGCAGGACCGCGGGTTTCCGATCATGGAGCATCCTGATTTAAACAACCATGATTCGGATGGCTCCGGGTCCTCCGATGAGCTTCTGCAGCAGCCATATGCTGTAAGAGCCAACTCCAGTTTCCCGGAGAATTTCGACACCCAGGTCCAAACCCCGGCGACAACCATTTCCTCGTCCCCTCCCCCATCCATTCCGTCTGCCCTGCCATCATGGGCAACCGGCACGCCTACACGCGCCCGCGGGGCCAGTATAGGTGCTTCTGCTGCTCTTGAGAAAGCACCGCCGATGGATGGTCATCCGGTGACCGATCGTGACTTGAGGCCGCAACGTCCGTCCGGCCCCGCTCGGACGCCCTCCAATACCTACGCGCCCCAACGACGCCCACCTCAGTATATCAGCTTCCAAAATGACCGCCAACGGAGCTCATCAACGAAACGAACTTCTAGACGCGATCCCAATGCACAGTACCGAGCTCAGGAGAAGGCGTATGTCCAGCGCATTCGTGCGGACCCTCAGGCCTGGTACAGTCATTTCGATGAGGCTCAAAACATGAGCATGACGGTCGGGGACTCGGACCTGGAAGAACCCTCACCATCCTCGGAGGTTCCTTTCGAAGACGATGCCTACGATCCGGATATTCAACTCTTCCTGACCGACGACAATCAGCCGACGATCGAGGAACTCAAGAACCCAAGAAATCAAGAGAGGTTGGAGTGGCATTCTATGCTTTCGTCTGTGTTAAAGGGAGACGTGGTGAAGCAAGAGAAACAGCGATTACTCGGATCTACAGAATCAAAACGATCGTCGGCCCAGAACAACGCAATATGGTTGGGTGTCAGAGCCAGGACCTGTGGAAGGAGTGTTGCACTGCAGAGGAAACTCATTGAAGAAGCGAGGGCTGGCCTTGGCCCCATCATCGAAGAAATTATCAAGTTCGAGATCAAAGGTGAAACAGAGATCGGGAAGCCACCCATCAAGCAGGTTGAGGATATTGTCGCACAGATAGAACGTTGTGAAAGCCTCTACTCTACTCACAAGGAGCTGGAGACTGCCCACCCCAGAGTCGCTTCAGAGGAGTATCACTCGAGTCGCGATGCTGTTTTTGCCTGGCACAACACGACCATCTTGATCAACACCGAGCTCGCTATCCTGCAGAAATGGGTTGGAAACGATGAGTTGGATTTCAGCAAATCGAGAACGAAATCGATCAATAGCGACCTTTCCGACGAAACATCCTTCCTTGACCGCATCATGAAGGAGGATGGCCTCAAAACGCTGCAAGGAAAACATAACATGCTCCACGGCATTGGAGAAGTCATCCAAAAAGCAAAGAATACATTAATTGAGAATGCCGGTTCTTTCGCCAAACGCCACTTACCTCCCTATATCGAAGAACTTCTTACTCTAATCAACTTCCCGTCTCGACTCATACAGGAAATTATACGGGTTCGACTATCTTACGCTAAGAATATGAAAGACCCGGCTTCGCAATCCGCCATCTTAGTCGATCAAATGATATCGCAGTTCCAGATTCTGATGAAGGTGGCGGTCGATATCAAACGGCATTATTTGGATATCGCCAGACCCGAGCCTGGGTGGGACCTGCCTCCTTGCATTGATGACGGTTTCGACGCAGTCGTCTTGGATGCGATGAAGTATTACTTCCGGCTTCTGAATTGGAAGCTGACTGCAAATAAGAACACATTCAAAGAAGCGGAGATTCTAGAACAGGATTGGGAATTTTCCAACGAGGTCGGCCGACAACTTGAGGGCGGAGATATCGAGGTCGCGGAGCAGTTTAGGTACGAACAACCTTCACACTATACGATATATCAATATGGCTAACCTGAGCTAGTGCACTCACTGCCAAGTCGATCCAACGCTTGATGTACCACTTCGAGCGGGAGTTGCAGCCTCGCCATGACGAGGATCCTGCCGACATGGACAAGCGTTATAAAAGCGTATTGGACTCAACTCGGATCCGGCAACGGAAGCTTTACCGATTTTCCCGATTCTTGCGCCAGCTGTTCGAAAATGCAACAGAATACAATTTGCCGGCTGACATTGCATACGACTTTTTGGAGTCGCTGCTTGTGTCGGATCATTTTATGATCAAATCAAACGTCTCTGTTGGTCAAAAGGGCGTCTATCTCTTTGCGCACCCTGCATTGTGGGATCGCCCTGCAGATATCCAAGCTATCCTAGGCACATCATTTCGTGAGGATGACACCAGCAAGGATACACCCCATGCGCCGTATATACTCGTGGTTCGTCCGGAAAAGCCTCTTTCCTGGGCTGGCAAAGAAATGCAGCTGGGCATCATGGAACAGCCTACGGACTTGCGGTTGGGCAAATTGCGACTTGTGGTTGAAGGGACGCAGCAGCGGCTGTCTAATGCGAGACATGAGCTGACTCACCTCACTGGTATTCAGCTCGACATGGCCATCGAGCAACGTGCCAATCTTGGTCGGGTCAACGTGGAGCTAAATAAGATCAAGAAGACGTCATTTAAGCTCTCAATGACTATCATGGATAGTGTTGCCCGGATACGGGAGCAACTCAAGGATAGAGACGTGGAGAACCACGATCTAGTCCAAGCATGCTATGCATTTGCGACCGAGTTCGGGAAGCGTTCTTCCAATGTTGATCCCAATAGACGCGCAATGAACAGTAATAGGCTTGTCGAGTTGTCCCTCGACTGGGTTTCGTTCATCTGTGATGATTGTGATGCTGCTGACAGGAAAACCTTCAAGTGGGCCGTTGCTGCTCTGGAATTTGCAATGGCCATCACCTCCAGCAGGCACCTCCTGTCTATGGATGATGCTCAGTATAGTCGACTGAGGCAGAAGGTTGCCGGGTGCATGTCGCTCCTTATATCTCACTTTGATATCATGGGTGCTCGATCATCTCGTGCGGCTCAGGCAGAGAAGCAACGCTTGGAAGAGCGCGGCGGTTCGAGACGAATGGGCGCAGGGCGAATCCTTACAGATGAAGAGGCAGCCAAGCTTGTTCGGGAGCAGCGCGTGGCTCATCTTACCGAGATCGAGGAGAGACGCGTTGACGAAGATGCTAAACGCCAAGCACTGGGAAGGGTTCTAGAGGGCTCAAACGAAGCGGACAGGTCTCTTACGGTGCTTTCATCCTCGGCTACGAACGTTACTCTGCGATGGCAACAGGGTCAGTTCATTGGTGGAGGAACCTTTGGGTCCGTTTACGCTGGAATTAACCTTGACAGCAACTACCTCATGGCTGTCAAGGAGATCCGTTTGCAAGACCCCCAACTTATCCCTAAAATTGCGCAGCAAATCCGTGATGAGATGGGTGTGTTGGAAGTCTTGGATCATCCTAACATCGTCTCTTACCACGGTATTGAAGTGCACCGCGATAAGGTCTACATCTTCATGGAATACTGTTCTGGTGGGTCCCTTGCCAGCTTGCTTGAGCACGGACGTGTCGAGGATGAAACCGTCATTATGGTCTACGCTCTTCAGTTGCTGGAGGGATTGGCGTACCTGCACCAGGCTGGCATTATCCATCGCGATATCAAGCCTGAAAATATCCTGCTTGATCATAACGGTATTATCAAATACGTCGATTTTGGAGCTGCAAAGATCATCGCTCGTCAGGGCAGAACCGTTGTCCCTATGGATGCCTTCGCTGGCGCTGGTCATAAGGACGGTATAGTGCCTAAGGACGCCCAGCTGGCTCACAACAATTGGGGCAAGAACCAGAAAACGATGACCGGCACCCCAATGTACATGTCACCCGAGGTGATTCGCGGCGATACCACAAAACTTATCCACCGCCAGGGAGCTGTCGACATCTGGTCGTTAGGATGCGTGATCTTAGAAATGGCCACGGGTCGTCGCCCTTGGTCCACTCTGGATAACGAATGGGCCATCATGTACAACATTGCCCAGGGCAACCAACCGCAATTGCCATCCCGAGACCAGCTCAGCGACCTAGGTATCGACTTCCTCCGACGATGCTTCGAGTGTGACCCCAATAAACGGTCCACTGCAGCAGAACTCCTCCAGCATGAATGGATCGTCTCCATCCGCCAGCAAGTCGTACTCGAGCCAGCCACGCCTGGCAGCGACAATAGCGGTGGTAGTTCCCATTCAGGCAGTCGCCAGAACTCAGCGTATCTATGATCATCCTGATCCCTCTTCCAGCATCTGGATCTACCTGATCTGTATCTCTGTTCATCATCTCACCAGTCTTCCACACAGACAACCAATCCATCACGATGTCCCCATGTTGTCTGTTCAAGCCATCTTCACCAAATTTTCGAATCTCTGTTTGCAATTATCTATCTCAGCCCTTTCACATTCATACACGCATAAAAATTTGCATTTGATACCCCGACTCAAAACTTAACATTCATTTTACCTACTGTCCTCAGGTCCTACATGTCATGTCATCAGTAGTGTTTGTCTCGTTTGAATCTCTTTTCCTTCCGCTTCTGTACTCCTCTTCTTTGGGAGGTTTCATTGATATAGCTATGTGATATAAGATATGTGCTGTGTGCTGCAGTTCTCGGGATGGG